AGGGCATTGTAAGTCTGGCAATGGAACTACAGAGTTGTCTTACTTCCACAGAGGTGTATTTCTGGGTTCCTGAAGACGTAGAACCCTGTGATTAAGATTTAGCATCTAATGGGATAAAGTGTTTTTTAACAGTAATAAAAAGGTGAAGTTGAGGAGAGATAATCTTACAGTTTAGAATTATGAAAATGGCTTTTCAAAAGCAGGATTGGAAATAAATTTTGAGTCTCCTCTGAAACACCTCGACTTTGTCACTTCTCTGAGGCAAGACTATTCAATTCCGAAAGGCTGGTTATTGGAAAACCATAAAATCTCCTGTAGTCATACAGGGGTGGCTCTCATTTTACAAGTGCCTTCCAGCAATACTCCCTATAAAGTTAATATACATTCTCAATGGTTTCCATCGTAAAGTTGGAGATATATTTCACAATCAGCAGATGAGATCTCCCCATAAACTAAATTAGAAACTTCTGGAGAGGAGAGACTTAAGATGGTGCCCAACCAAAGTACATCCTGTCGTGGTAGAATGTGTGTATTGCACTACTTGTAAAACTGCACTGATGGCTGATTCCCAGTACATCTTGGGTACCTTTTTCTTTCATGATTGAAACAGGCTCAGGCCAAGAAAAGGTCAATGAGCCCAACCAATCGATGACTGAGTCCTTTAACACGGGGCAACATTTTCTTTCAATCATTGACTCTTCTCAGAGGTCTGGTCTCCAAATCAAAATAAGCATGAATTACAGATGCCTTTTGCTTTGTGAGATTTTAAAAGTCTTTACCAAATCTCTTAAAATCTGTAGAACTCCACTGATGCTTTTTCCCACAGACTCTTAAGTTTTTAATATCTAACTCTGCTGCCTATTTAATCCTTATTAGTTCCATAGATTAAAATCTGATGCATCACACTCAGTTCCTCAGAGTAGAAGCTGAATATTTTGAAATACTCACTTTCCACTTCCTATTAGTCTTACGCAAACCTTTTATTAAAGTGTGAGAAGAGGGGATAACCTTTCTGAAAGACATTTTAAGCAACCAACTTAGGCCCAGAGGAAGAATAATGGCTTGAGCTCAGCATGTCATAAAAATGCTGATTTCCCTGTACTTATTTTACTAGTAGTCTTACTCCTCAGGAAGGAGGCTCATAAATGTGTTCTGGGGCTTGGTAAACTACTAAATATTACTCCACATCTCACTGAGAGTTAGTCTAAGTTTTTTTTTAATCAAAAAATTTCTATTCTTAAATTTGTAATTGGTCTTAAATGCCTCAGAAACATCTTGTTGAAAAGAATATTTGCCTGGTTTTCTCTTTTGGATTTAGAAACCCTGATGTCATATGTTGCCCTGGACAGAGGCAAAAGATGGAGCAGCAGCAGAGGAGAAATGCTTTTCTTTGGGCCCCCAGAAATATCCACACTGGGGACAACATCTCAGTGGCTATAGGCACACAACGGAATATTACTCAGCCATAAAAAGAGTGAAATAATGCCATTTGCAGCAACATGGATGGACCTAGAGATTATCACACTAAGTGAAGTAAGTCAGACAAAGACAACTATCATATGATATCACTTATATGTGGAATCTAAAAAGATGACACAAATGAACTTATTTACAAAACAGAGACTCACAGACATAGAAAGCAAACTTATAGCACCAAAGGGGAAAGGGGAGGAGGGATAAATTAGGAGGTTGGGATTAAAATATACACATTACTATATATAAAATAGATAACCAACAAGGACCTACTGTATAGCACAGGGAACTATCTATACTCAATATCTTGTAATAACAAATAATGAAAAAGAATCATATATATTTTTATCTCACTTTGCTGTACACCTGAAACTAACGCAACATTGTAAATCAACTATATTTCCATAACATTTATTTTTTAATGACTGTAGGCAAAGGGGAGGGGACAGAGGGTGCTGAAAGGGCTTTCTAGAGCCATAGAGTAGATACTTTCTGCATCTTCTAGAGTTGATCCCAGGTACATGCACACACCAAGCCCACATAAGTGGAGGCAGAATGGTGGGGACAGGGGACTCAGATTTCGATTTCTACTTTGTTCATAATTCACTGCAGAATCTTAAGCAAAGTCCTCAGCCTCTATTTCATCAGCCATAAAATGGGTAAATTGGTATAAATCAGAGATTCTCCTGACCTGGGGACTCTGGAATCCCAGATGATTACATAAAGGGGTCTGTGGTGTTCGCTATGGACTTGAAAAGTAACAATCTCTCCCATAGATTTGTACCATTTTTCAAATGTTGCTGTTGAATTAACAAAAATAATTTGATTAAAAGTTTAAGAGAATTTATAGTTACATTCTCCCTCTACGTACTTTCTCAGTCAAATAATTGTAAAAGCATAATGGATTCATAATCTCGGGGTCAAAAAGTCAGGGAGCCACTGGTGTAGCTGCTCTCTGACCTTCTATGACTCTAAATCCCCCAGAGTTCTCAAGTTTCCTGAAGGTTATAGTAAATAGAACATTTAAATCCTTTCCGTTTTTTTTCTCAAGTTGAAAGAGGGAAGAGGGAAACAACTTTCCCAGTGTGTCAGAGAGCCTGATAAAGCAGAATTTAAACTCCGTTTTTAGCCAGAGAAGCTGATGATAGTTGTGTCTAGGAGGACACAGCCAGACACCTTGGAGCAAATCTTCTTTCTTAGGAGTCTCTTCAGTGTCTCTCATCATTATGGAAACATAAGATGAGCAGACACTCATTGTCCCAGAGAAGATGGCAATAAACCTTCATGTGGTTTGATAAGGGCTACTCTTCCCAATATCCCCTTGATGTGAAGAGCTGGTTGCTATAGGAGTGAATTTGCTCAAGCGTCAAAAAACTTTCTGAAAATGAAGATTGGGCCAGTTCCCAACCTCTTCCTGTTCAGGATTCATTGTTATCCACCTCACATGGGTCAGATGGTCTCATTTGAGCACTGCTCTCAGAAAACGACACCCAGTATCCTCAAGGTGGACTCCCAAGGTGAGGAAAAGGGTTACCAGCCACAAGGTTCCATGTGCTTTAAAAAGGGAAGGGAGGTCCTGGGGCATTTCTGAGACAGTAATGGATTTTTCCATATTTAAAACTATTGAGGATATGATCTCTGAAACTGAAAATTTCTTCCTTCACATTGAACTTTTATCCTCACTCTATAGTGATGCATCTGTTCCCAAGTTCAATGAAAAATTGCTTTCGTGAGAAAAACACTACAAGCATTGCCTCCTATAGGTGTGGGGGAAAACTCTCTGTGCCTTAGCTTCCTCACTGGAAAAAAAAGGGAATAATAACAGTGCCTATCTTTCAAGCTTGTGAAGACTAAAGCACTTACTTGTGTAGCCTACTTATGACAGTGCCTTGCATACAATAGTAATACCTCATTATGTGGTGTTACTGATGATGGTGATGATGATGATTTGTAGAAGTTATTTATTCAAGCCTCGAATATGAAATATCATCAAAGGAAATTACACTTCTGCCCCCAAACTTCAACCACTGACCATAGTCTACATGTTATTAGTCATTAGGTCTACTCAAAAATATTCTGGCTCATCTTCTTCCAGGCATGTGTTAGGTCTGCACTTCACCAACTGTTTTTAAATTAGACACGACCAATGTCACTTGCTTTGGCCAGTAACATGTAAGCAGAAGTGACTTGTGTTACACCCACATGGAAGCTGTAAGAGCCAGTGCACAATTTGCCCCATTCTCTTACCACCTCTATAGAGGCTGTGGAAATATGTACTGAGAAGGAGTCTCTATCAGCTGAGTCCTGAATGGCGTGATGAACAAGATTCCTCTTTTGGTCGACATTTGACATATAGAGAGAGTCAAATAAATTTTTGCACATTAAGCCACAGTGATTTAGGAGTTGTTGTTACCACAGCATCTTAATTGATAAGTCACACTGATATATATGTATTGTTATTATTAGCATCATCATCATCATTATTTTAGACACTTGTTAAAATGTGTGTATACAGAAGGAGATTTCTAGAAACAATAATAACTTGGTATACATTGGGATGTATAGTATTTGATCTTACAGAGATAATTACACTTTTAGTCCTTGATCAAGTTTCCATAATTTATTATATTTATTTATTTATTTTTTGGCCACGTGGCATGCAGGATCTTAGTTCCCAGACCAGGGATCAAACCCGTGCCCCCTTCAGTGGAAGCACAGAGTCCTAACCACTGGACCGCCCGGGAAGTCCCAATTTTTTTAACATGAAAATTCTGTTACTTAAAGAGCATTAGTGTCAGTGTCTCTCTCTCTCTCTCTCTCTCTCTCTCTCTCTCTCTCTCTCTCTCTTTCTCTCTCTCTTTCTCTCTCTCTTTCTCTCTCTCTCTCTCAAGATAATCTGAAAGTGGAAGCCTTTTTCAGGGACTTAAAGCTTACCCTGAACTCATTAGAATCTTCATAGCCTTTTACATTTTGCCCTATGCGGTTTGGGCAGACAGCCCAGATGCCACATCATTTTATACGTTCTAAGTGAGCCAAAAGATCTGCCCATCTTCACATAATTACTTCTCTTGTGCTACTATCACTGTCTTGGTTGGCAGTGAACAAATGAGACCCTTTCACTTGAATCAACCAAAATTTCATCCCTGGGTGGGGAACTCAATATTACAAGTGATTACAAGTTTGTGTATTTGTGTTTTCAAAGATCTTGCCACCCCAAATGGAAGAGTGGAACCATTAACAGACTATCCAAGTAAATAGTGAGGAGGGAAAAACCTCAGGTTCAAAGCACTAGTTGTTACTCTTTGAACATTCTTTACCTGCCCGTGGCCTCTGATGGGGCTCCTCCTTGGGCTGTCTTTGCACAGGGCTTGAGAGGCCTCTTCTTGTTCCCCAGTTGGGACAGCAGTGAGTCTCCTGACATGGCAGGATCTCACAGAAAGTGATCTCTGGTACTTGGAAGGGGAGTTGTGTGGTTGCCAGAGATGTATTAGGTGCTGCAAGGCATTGGACAGAGGGGAGAGTGACAAGGTTAACCTGAAAGGCTGGCTCTTCTCTTGCCGGTTCACATGAAACCCAGGCTGGGTTTGAGGGTGAGGAATGTGACGATCTTACCCAAGGGGGAAGCTGTGGGTGGCAGAGCCGGATCCTGGGAGCTGGTGAGGTTTCTGGGGGAGGAGAGCAAAGTGATTAATGAAAGAGGCCTTCAAGAATCCTCCCCGAAGGAACACAAGACTGGACTCTCACCTCGAAGGGAGACTTGGGGCACATCGGTCTTGATCTTTTAAGCTGAGTATGTAAAGGGAGACTATTGTCAAGCCACTGTTAAAAAAAGAAAGAAAGAAAGAAAGAGTTACGTGGCAGATTTGATTCCAGATATATCTCACACAACCAGCTGGCCAGAGATGTCCTCTCCCAGGCCACACAGATGGGAGAGGAGGGGGCAGGTGGCCAGGGCTGACAGAAGCGCCATGGAAGCCAGCACAGTTCTGCCTCTCAGCCCTGGTGAGAAAAAGCCCCCAATCTTCCCAGAGCTCAGAGGCTCCCTGGCTACTCCGGGCTGACGGATTTTTCCACAAAGCAGCCCCCTGGCCCTGGCAAGCTGTCTCAGAAACGTCTGTCACTAGTGGAAGATTACAAGAGGAAGCATGTAAATCACTGGAGGCAGCCCTCTGCTCCTTGCAGGAAAAACTCAGAGCAAAGTGCATATCCCCCTGGTGGAGGGCATCCACACTGTGGTGTTGGGAAATGAAAGGCCACACAGGTTTAGTCAGCAGTAGGTGCCAAACCCTTTGGCCGCTTCTGACATCTTCCTGCTGCCTGTCTTTTCAGAGCACAATACACCAAATTGGACAAAGGAAGGAAAAAAGTACAATAAAGCATCCATTTCCACACTACATGACTTCAAAATAATGAGTGTATCTTTCCCCCCAATTATCAGCACTTATATAGCCAAAAGGAAGCTTACCTTAAAGGTCCTGAGCTTTGGGAAGCTCTTCCCAATATTGCTCACACATCCAAACACTCGGCATTCTCCTCTTTCGAGGGTGTCTCGAGAACTCTCTCTACAATCCCACCGTGTGCTGGGCCTGACACAGGGGACCTTACTTGACCTCTTGCCGGCTTGATGTCACATCTGGTTCTCTAGACTCAACTCCTCATTAGTATTGATATCTTGTTCCCCACCAAAGGTCGTGGATTTACCATCATTAAATATACACAAAGAAATGTGCCACACATTTGGATTCTGCTCCTGAAGAAAGGATCCCCAGAGTGTTCTCAGCAGCAGCTGGTTCCTGCCCAGTGGGCACAGCCCTGCCTGGGAAAAGTGGTGCTGAGCTCCAAAGATGCCGTTAGACAGAATTTGTGGCATCGCCCTGGCAACTGCTTGCTGTGGTCCAGTCTCCCTGACTTTGTTCTCCCACATTCCCCATTTTCTATCTCCCTATTACTAATCCTTAAATACTCTTTCTGATTTGTTTGCCATCTGCATCATTGCATGGCATGGGCAACTTCTAGGATCATAGAGTGAAATAGACATCTGCTTCTTTCTTTAGGGTTTTGACCCTTCTCAGGTACACCACAGGCTGGAAACAAGACAATAAGCCCAATACCTCCCATTTCTGGTCTTAGAGGTCAACAACATTGGAATTTGTACGATCTGATAAGCACATTTAAAAAGCAGTCTCTTCATATCAAAATTAGACTTCCTATAAGCTTTGCATTGGATTTTCATGGGAATCTGTGTCTCTAGAGAATGTTAAGCATGTCTGTGAAAAGTAGATGCTCACACTCTTCCTGAGTTGGAAATCCCAGAAGAAGACAAGTTCACTTAGGAGAGTGAGAAAAGTACACCAGCTTCTACCGTGAATTCTATGTAGTGGTGTCAAATACTTGGGGATGCTTCCTGCAGTGGGCAGTAGCAAGTGAAAAGTTAAAATGCTGAGGGGAAAGAAGGGTACAGAGAGACCCACAATGTCTCCTATAACTGAGAAGCTGCTTTGGATCAAGAAACTGGAAGCATCCTTGGGACCATCCCTTACTTAGCCTCTGAGGATAATTGTCTCCTCTGAGACAAGGCCCAGAAGCTAGTCCTTTTCCACACTAACAAAGCATTTTTGGAGGGATATATAAATACCCCTTCCACCATGTAAATAGACCGAAAACAAGAAGGCGAGGAGGACACAGGAAAGATGACCAGGGCTCAAAGGCTGAGGAGCCATCATAGCAGCAGCACGAGCCTGAAGACCAGAGACCTGATAAAGACCCCTCATCCCAGTAAAGGATGACCCCTCCTCCCTGCGAAGGAGGGATGGCAGTCAAAAGGCACGTGATGCTTGCATAGCAAATGTATTTGTTTGCTTTAACTGCTTAGTACATTTGGCTACAATTTCATCATTATTGCATATCTTGGGGTAATCTCAGTCTCTTTTGGTATAAAATCCAGAATTCTAATAATATGAATATCCATGGGAGAGTGGATTGTACCTGATTACCTACTCACTCTTTTCACCTAAGTAGATAGGAAGGAGAGCAAAGATTCTGAGAAAGTTATTTGCAAGGCTAAAAAAGATACACGCACGCACGCACACACACACACACACACACACACACACACACGAAAGGCACAGGGAGCTGGTGAGAAATATCAGTTGATTAAAAAAAAAGATCATCCTTTATCTCATATTTAAGAGCAGAAAGCCTGTGCTTCTTTTCTTCAAAGTATGAGTTTATAAAGGGCTCCTGTATCTCTAAGCTAAATCAAAGGCCAATGTCTGGTTTAAAGGGCTCCTTGTCTTCAAAGTAAATAGAAAGTCAGTCCCCAGTTCATGTGTGAGAAAAGGAAGATGGGAAGAGAAAAAGAGCTTGACATAGCACAACACTGATGTTTTTCTTACCAAAATGCCATCACAGCAATGAGTGTTATAACCAAGGTCTGGAAAACCCAGTTAGGACACGACTGTTTTTTTCCTGAAAAAGAAACCTATAAAAAATTCAGCAATGAGAAATGAAAAATCAGTGATGCCAACTTTGAGAAGGATGCCTGAAGACTCACTCCCCAGGGGGATCTTCGCTGCTCCCTTCAGCCTACATCTCCCTCCTCCTCTCTGCCTCTGAAAACAAAGTCCTTTCAAAGCCAAGTTCTTCCCTTTTCTTGGCACTCCAGGCTACACTCTCTCTTCCCTGCAGGACAACTGTCTGTGCCATTCATTTAGTGCTTTTTCTTGAAGTTTTATGAGAGAAGACCTACCAGACAATATACTGTCAGAACCCAGAGGTCCATTTCTTTTAATAGGATACTTTTGAAAATCAAAAAGTCTTCAAGACATAATAGAATAAATCCCAATGGAAGAACTTCAGGCAGCATAACAAATTGTAGAAAAGATTTTTGTGGCATGAAATACTATTAATTACTCCTTAAATCATATACAATTTTTTCCAATGCTGCCACCTATTTTTGAGGACTGTTCTGGGCCTATGTCTTATTTATTCTTATATCCATTCAACAAATATTCATTAAGCACTACTATGAGCAACGTTATAGGGGGATATGAAAATAAGTAAATTACACTCTCTAGGAAGTGAGTGAGACAAACCTTTAGGACTGGTACATATTGGCATTAAAAACTTGCACATAAGGAATGAGCCAAGAACCATAGGAGAGACAGCTGTGCAACTGGTGAGGAATCTCACTGGAGATACGAGAGGCTTTCTGCCCAGTTAAATATGGTGCTCCTTAAATATGGGTTTCCTACTAATGCAATAGAGAGTATTATGTTTGCTTCCTTCTGGGGGTACAGGATTGGAAGGGAATTGGAGGATGGTGGTAGTTAAGAAATAGTTTAAAATTGGTCTTTGAATTTCTTGGGCAGGTTATCTGCATAAAGAAAATGTTCTTCAATGTAATATCGGGGGTCGGAGGGGCGGCATTAACCACACGCTTTTTAACAAGTACCCAAATTTTAGGGTTATCATAACTGAGTCATCCATAAGTGCAGTAGGAAACCACTTTGAATACCAAGAAGTGGATGGTTTATACCATTCCTACATCCCACTGGAATGGTTTTGAGGACATCCTAATAGTGTGCTGTGCAAAGAAAGAATTCAATGCAATGAAATTTGCTGAGTTGATTAGAATTAAATAGTATTAATCTCAGAATAAGAGCTTCCCCTTCCAACCTACTCCACAAAGCTGCCAGATTATTTTAAGTCTCCATGCTTTTGCTCAAAAGCCTTTGACCTTGTATAGGAAAATGGCCTAAGACCTGGGGTCAGACCTGGAGTCAAGCCCTGAACAAGTCATCTAAGTGTCATTGATCCTCATTTTCCTCATCAGTAAAATAGGAAAGATAAAATCATACCTGCCTACCTTTCAGAGTTATTGGGTGGACCTGATTAACAGAGAAATGTTTCTCAAGTTCAAGTCTGCATGAGAATTACTATGGAGTTTGTTAAAAAATCTAAATGCCCTGAAAAATTCTGATTCAATAGGTTTCCATGTAGCGTGAGGTGGGGGGCTGTGAATCTATAAGAAGTGAGATAATGAAAAGTATCTGTGTTTGCTAATGTGTTTAGAATAGATAACTAATAAGAACCTGCTGTATAGCACAGGGAACTGCACTTTGCTGTACAGTAGAAACTAACACAACATTGTAAGACAACTATACCCCGATTAAAACAATAAATAAATAAATTTAAAAATAAACGTACACATTGAGATGATACATCATTTATTCAGTATGATCCATTTGACCTCTGTGTTACTGATTTTCATAATACCCTGAATTGTGGGGGGAGGTGGGCTCTCAGAAGAAGCCTGTGTTTGTTCCTTCCCTCTCTCCCTTCTCCTCCACGTACTCTGAATTTTTACTCGAACCCTGAGGTCTTTGTCACCTGGCCCCAATCAACACACAGCAGGAATCAAAGAGAAGGAAAGGAGAGGAACCCTTTGGACTGGATGAGACCTTAATCTTCCTCCAGAATGAGCATCATCTTGGCCAGCATTGACCCAGCCAGGCTTCTTCTCACCATCAGGTAAAGCCCACCAACTGCTCATAGCCAGCACTTTGCTCATTAATGCCCCCACCCAACCCAGGAGGACCACTCCCCACCCATGCACTTGTGTTTCAATGCTCCAAGGATCTTGGAGGCTTTGAGGAATAAAGGTTACCTAGGGGGTTGGTGTATGGAAGGAAGAGTTAACCTCGGAGAAATAGCCAAAACCTCCTAGAAAGATAGTACAGGGAGAGCAAAACACCACCATTACTTGTATTTTATCAAGCTCCCTGGAAGACTCTGATACATGCCAAAGTATGAGAACCACTGAAATAGTGGGTTTGAAAATACTAAATAGCGGTGGACACTTACATGGCACTTATGTGCCACACACTCTTTTGAGTGCTTTATGTATGCTAATTTATTTAATCTCACAGTAATCCTCAACTACTCCTCTATAAGGCAAGTACGGTTATCATCTCTATTTTAGAGATGTGGAAACATGAGTCCCAGGAAGGCTAAGTTCCTTACTCAAGATCACACTGCTAGTAAGTCACAGAGCCAGAATTTGAACAAAAAAACCCTTGGTTCCGGAATCTGTGCTCTTAACCCCAATGCCATGCTGCCTCCCTTTTCTGTCTGTAAAGAAAGGGTACACTGTACAACTTAGATGTTATTGTTGTTATTCAAGAAGCCTTCATGGCTGCCAAACGAACTCCTTAACTGGTGATCCAGAAACTGAGCCTCACGTATTTTCAGCCTTAACTTCTACTCTCCTCCCTGACAAACTGCCACCTAGTCCTTCAAGGAAGCTGGTGCCGGCTCCCAGACCTCGGCTTGTGCCATTCCATCTGAAACGTCTCCAGCAGCACCTGTTACTTTCTAGCCAAAGCTTACGCCCCCTTGAAGGCCCGGGTCCCATGACACTCCCACGGTGCTCTGAGCCTCTGCAGTATTTATCACATCCGGGTACAACTGTTCTTTGTATTCTCTTCTGATCTTCCCTGGCTACCTTAAAATTCTTTAGAAGGGGCCACATCTTACTCACTTTTGCATGCACAGGGGCATAGGACAGTGAATGCATGAAGTCTCTGAATTGAATGGGTGCTCTTTAATGTCTGGATGTCCATATAAGTCCCTGAGCCTGTGTCCACACCCCAACTCCCCCACCACCCATACACCCAAGACACTGAATCTCTTAATGCTTTAAATTTAGATTGTGAGCCTTCAGGGAATATTTTCAGACTGGGCTCTCCATTCATTCATTCATTTGACAAATATTTCTTGAGTACCTGCTCTGTGTCTGTCCCTGGGGACACAGAGTGAGGAAGGCTGACACAGAGCCTGTTCTCATGGACCGTGCTAGTTAATATTCTGAGAAAACTGCAAAATAAAGATTCTTTGTGTGCAAGATGGGCGCTACAGAGGTTGCACAGGAACCAAATTGTACCAATCAGGGCCTCCATGGATGTAGATACAATTCCCTCTATCCCCTTGCAAACTGGTTAGTACAAAGAGCACCTTCCCTACCCAGT